TACATCAGATCTCCAGAACTTATTCATCTTCTAACTGAAAGTTTGTACCCTTTGACCAACATCTCCCTTTTCCCTCCCACTCCTCAGCCCCTGGTTACCACCATTCTACTCTCTGTTTCTGTGAGTTTGATGTTTTTAGATTCCACAAAAAAGTGAGATCATACAGAATTTGTCTTTCTCTGAATTATTTCGCTTAGCACAATGCCCTCAAGGTCCATCCATGTTGTTGCAAATGGCAGGATTTCCTTCTTTTTTACGGATAATATTCCATTTTATTCACATGTACGATAATTTGTGTTATATATCTCACATTTTCTCTATCCATTCATCTGTTGATGGACACAGGTTTGTTTCCATGGTCTTAGCTATTGTAAATAATGCTGCAATGAACAAGAGGGTGCAGTTCTCTCTTCAGGACAGTGATTTCATGTCCTTCAGGTGTATACCCAGAACTGCAATTGCTGGATCATATAGTAGTTCTATCTTTAATTTTTTGAGGAAGCTGCGTACTGTTTTCCATAGTGGCTGCACCAGTTTAGATTCCCACTAACAGTGCACAAGGGATCCCTTTTCTCCACATCCTCCCCAGCATTTATCTCTTATCTTTTGGGATAGCCATTCTAACAGGTGTGAGATATCTCGTTATGGGTTTGATTTGCATTTTCCTGATGATTAGCACGAGCACCTTTTCACATACTTGTTGGCCAGTTGTATGCCTTTTTGGTAAAATATCTATTCAAGTCCTCTGGCCATTTTTAACTAGGTTCTTTCTTTGTTTGTTTTGCTATTGAGTGTTATAAATTTCTTATATATTTTTGATATTAATTCCTTATCAGATATATGGTTTGCAAATATTTTCTCCCATTTTGTAGATTGCATTTTCATTTTGTTGAGTTTCCTTTACTGTGCAGAAGCCTTGTTGTTCGATGTAGTCTCGCTTGTTGATTTGGTTTTGTTGCCTATGCTTTTGGTGTCACATCCAAAAAATCATCGCCAAGACTGACGTCAAAGAGCTTTTCCCCTATGTTTTCTTCTAGGAGTTTTATGGTTTCAGGTCTTGCATTTAAGCCCTTACTCCATTTTGAGTTAATTTTTGTGAGTGGTGTAAGATAGGGGTCCAATTTCATTCTTTGCATGTGGATAGCCAGTTTTCCTAATACCATTTATTGAAAAGACTATCCTTTTTCCATTTAGTATTCTTTCCAAGCCTCCCTTGTCAAATATTAGTTGACCATATATGTGCAGATTTATTTCTGGGGACTCTATTCTGTTCCTTTGGTCTATGTATCTGTTTTTATTCTGGTACCATACTGTTTTCATTGCTATAGCTTTGTAATATAGTTTGAAATTAGCAAGTGTGATGTTTCCAGCTTTTTTCTTTCTCAAGATTGCTTTGGCTGTTCGGGATCTTTTGTTTGCCATACAAATTTTAGGATTTTTTTTCTATTTCTTTGAAAAATGCCATTTGGAATTTTGATAGGGATTGCATTGAATCTATAGATGGCTTTGGGTAATATGAACATTTTAACAATATTAACTCTTCCAATCCATGAACATGGGATATCTTTCTATTTACTTGTGTCTTCTTCAACTTTTATCATCAGTATCTTATAGTTTAGGTGTATATATCTTTCACTTCCTTGGTTAAATTTGTTCTTAGGTATTTTATTCTTTTGCATTCTATTGTAAATGGAATATTTTTCTTCATTTCTTTTTCAGACAGTTCATTGTTAGTGTATAGAACCACTACTGATTTTTGTATGTTGATTTTGTATCCTGAAACGTGATTGAATTCTTTTACTACGTATAATGGTTTTGTTGATGGAGGCTTTAGGGTTTTCTATATACAAGAACATCTCATCAGCAGAGATAGTTCTACTTCTTCCTTTCTCATTTGGATGGCTTTTATTTCTTTTTCTTGTCTAATTGCTCCAGCTAGGATTTCCAGTGCTCTACTGAATAGGAGTGGTGAGAGTAGGCACCCTTGTCTTGTTCCTGACCTGACAGGGAAAGCTTTCAACCTTTCATCGTTGAGTATGATGTTAGTTATGGATTTATATATGGCCTTTATTATATACATGGTGTGTGATCCTTTTAATGTACTGTTGAATTTGGTTTGCTAATATTTTGTTGAGAATTTTCTTTTCTCTTAGTCCCTTTACATGCTTTGGTATCAGGGTAATGCTGGTCTTGTACAACAAATTTGGAAGTGTTTCCTCTTCTTTAACTTTTGGAAGAGTTTGAGAAGAATTGAAATTACTTCTTTTTTTAAACGTTTGGTAGAGTTCAACTGTGAAGCCATCTGGCCCTAAGCATTTTTTGTTGAGAGGTTTTTAATTACTGGCCCAATCTCTTTACTAATTATTGGTCTGTTCAGATTTTCTATTTCTTTGTTATTCAGTCTTGGTAGGGTGTATCTTTCTAGGAATTTATCCATTTTTTCTAAGTTGTCCAATTTGTTGGCATATATTTTTTCACAGAGTCTCTTATTATCTTTTGTATTTCTGTGGTACCAGTTTTAATGTCTCCTCCTTCATTTATAATTTAATTTTTTTGAGTCCTCCTTCTTTTTCTCTTGGTAAGTCTAGTTAAAGATTTATCAATTTTGTTTCTCTTTTAAAAAATTAACTCAGTTTGTTGGTTTTTTCTATTGTTTTTCTATTCTCTATTTCATTTAGTTCTTCTCTGACCTTTTTTACCTCCTTCCTGCTGCTAACTTAGAATTTAGTTTGTTCTTGTTTTTCTAGTTAATTGGGGTGTAAAGTGAGGTTGTATATTTGAGATCTTTCATCTTTCTTTTTTCTTAATGTAGACATTTATCACTATAAACGTCTCTCAGCACTGCTTTTGCTGCATCCCATAAGTTTTGTTATGCTGTGTTTCCATTTTTATTTGTTTCAAGATATGTCTTGATTTCCCTTTTGATTTCATCTTTGACCCATTGGTTGTTCGGAAGTGTGTTGTGTGATTTCCATATATTTGTGAATTATTTCCATATGTTTGTGGATTATTGGTTTTCCCTGTTATTGGTTGCTGTTTTTGTACCATTGTGGTTGGAAAAAACAATTGGTATAATTTCAGTCTCTTAAAATTTGATGAGACTTTGTTTTGTGACATAACATATCATTTATCCTAGAGAATTTTCTGTGTGTACCTGAGAAGAATGTATATTCTGCTCCTGTTTGATGGAATGTTCTGTATATGTCTTTTAGGTCCATTTGTTCTATGGGGTTGTTCAAGTTTATTGTTTCCTTATTGATTTTCTGTCTGGATGATCTATCCATTGTTGAAAGCAGAGTATTGAAGTCCCCTACCCTTATTGTATTGTTGTCTATCACTCCTTTCAGATCTGTTAGTACTCGTTCAATATATTTATGTGCTCTGATCTTTGGTGCATATATATTTACAGTTGTTATATCCTCTTGATGAATTGTCTCCTTTATCATTATATAATGACCTTCTTTGTCTCTTCTTACAGGTCTTAACTGAAAGTCTACTTTGTCTGATATGAGTATAGCTACTCCTGCTGTCTTTTGGTTTTCATTTGTGTGGAATATATTTTTCTAGCCATTCACTTTGAGTGCGTGTGTCCTTGAAGCTGAAGTGAGTCTGTTATAGGCAGCATATATTTGGGTCTTTTTTTTTTTTTAAGTTCATTCATTTACTCTATGCCGCTTGATTGGGAAATTGTATCTATTTAAATTTAAAGTAATTATTGGTGGGTAAGGACTTACTATTGTTATCTCGTTAATTATTTTCTGGCTGTTTTGTAGCTCCCTTCTTCTTTTCTCCCAATCTTACTGTATTCCTTCATGAAATGATGATTTTCCATATTGGTATTCTTTGATTCCCTTCTCTTTATCTTGTGTGTATTTACTATAGGTTTTTGTTTTGTGGTTACCCTCTAGCTTACTTGAAACATCTTATAGATAGATATAACAGTCTCTTTTAAACTGATAATTTAACTTTGATCACACATGAAAACTCTTCCCTTTTATTCCCCCTTCCTAAATTTTAAGTTTTTGATGTCATACTTTACATCATTTTATATTATGTATCCATTAACAAATTATTGTAGCTATATCTATTCTTAATACTGCTATACTTCAACCTTTATATTAAAGTTGTTAACACACTACCATATAGCATTATTAGAGCAATCTAAATTTGGCTGTATGCTTGCCTTTGCCAGTGGTTTTTTTATATTACCACTTAGTTTACTTTTATTTCAGCTTGAAGAACTCCTTTCACCATTTCTTGTAAGGCGGACTTAGTGGTGATGAACTCCCTCAGCTCTTGTTTCTTTGGGAAAGGCTTTATCTCATTTCATTTCTGAAGGACAATCTCCTGGGTAAACTATTCTTGGTTGGCAGTTTCTTTCTTTCAACACTTTGAATATATCATCCCATTCTTTCTTGGCCTGCAAGGTCTCTGCTGAGAAATGTGCTGGTAGCCTTATGGGTGTTCTCTTGCATGAGAGAAATTTTTTGCTTTTGCTACTTGTAAATTTCTCTCTTTGTCTTTGATTTTAAAAGGTATTATTATGATAATTTTGGATTGAAATTTTGGGTTGACCTATTAGCTTCATGAACTTGGATGTCCAAATCGCTCCTCAGGTTTGAGAAGTTCTCAGCTGTTATTTCTTTAGATAAACCTTCTACCCCTTTCTCCCTCTCTTCCTCTTGGACTCCAATGATACATAGATTGTTTTTCTTAATGATAAGAAGACCTGCAGGCTTTCTTTTTTCCTTTTCGTTCTTTTAGCTTTATGCTTCTCTGACTGGATGATTTCAAATCATCTGTCCTCAAGCTCCGTGATTCTTTCTTCTGCTTGATCTGCTCTGTTGTTGAGGCTTTCTATTGATTACTTCAGTAATTCTATTCTTCAGCTGCAAAATCTCTGTTTGACTCTTTTTCATGTTTTCTCTTTGTTGAACTTTCTATTTTGTTCTTATATTGTTTTCCTGATATCATCAGATTGTTTATCTGTGTTCTCTTGTAGCTCTCTGAGCACCTTTAGAATAATTATTTTTAATTCTTTGTGGGTAATTCCTGTATCTCCATTTCTTTGGGACCAGTTACAGGAGGTTTACCATATTCCTTTGGTGGAGCCATGTTTCCCTGGTTCTCCATGATCCTTGTAGCCTTGCATAGGTGTCTGCACATTTGAAGAAGCAGTCACCTCTTCTAGACTTTCTGGACTGCCTTTGATAAGACATGACTTTTACCTGTGGGTAGGGGCATGTTGGAGCATTCTGTGATCCTGAGTTTAGTGGTGCAGGGCACCAAGTGCTGGGGTATGTAGCAGCACCAGGTCTAGGGGGCATGATAACTCACTGGCTCAGGCTTTTGGGGTCCACATCATTGACAATTGCATGGTCCTTGGTGAGCAGTGTGGGAGATCCACAGAGTGTGGAAGGGCTGTTGGGGTCCTCAGCAGTGCCTTAAGGTCCAGTGGCTAGGGACACGGGCAAGCAGTGATAGTGGACAGAGCTTGTGGTGTGCACATGCTTGGCCATGGGGGCCAATTGCAGGTGCCTGTGTAGTGATAGGGGCTGATCGCGCACATGCACATAGTGGTAGGGGCCAAGGTGGGCAGCAGGGCCAGGGCCAACTGTGAGTGCACTGGCAGCTGTGGGGACCTTGGCTCTTGGCATGTACTACTGTGGCTTCACAGTCTTTCCTGGGCATGCACATGGCAGTAGAGGCCAGTGACAGGTGTCAGACTGGTGGTGTGCAAATGCACAGCTGGAGGGACTAGCCCCAAGTGCACACATAGTGGTGGGGTCAGCTACAGGGGTCTAAGCTGGCATGTTGCACTCACACAGTCACAGAGGCCTGGGTTGCCAGTGTGGTTCCCAGGATCTGGCAGGGCCAGAGGAGAGGAGGGAGCAGGGTGGGACTCAAGTGGCTGGTGTCAGTGAACACAAATTCCTGTGGGGTAAAAGCTGATGAAATCTGCAGGGGACCCACAGCAGCTTTGCTGGTTGTTGGTTTCTTCAGTGGCAAAAGCTGCTGAGGTCATTTATAGAAGCGATCACTGGGAATCTTAGTTGCTCCTGCTATTGGGCTAACACTGGTAGCCCCTCTTTTTCTTCCTTGTTCCTAGCCATCTCTAGGAATGTCTCATCTTTGCCAGTCAGGTGAAACTGAAGTGAGATCTCTGGGCAGTGCCCCGATAGGCTGAGGAAACTGTTTGCTCACTCTGCTCTTCTTTTCCCTGCGGGGGCACCCTTTCTAGCTGGGGAGTCCCCTCTTGGTGCTGAGCAATGCTGGCTAGGGAGCTGCGATAATGGAGGCAAAATGAAGTTGTTCTTTTTTCTCTTTTTGTGCTGTTATTCCAAGTTGTTCCGCCATGTTGCTAAAGTTTCTTAAGTGGACTCCAGAGCTCTCTCAGAGCTGGTTTTGTTCAGGGATAGCTATCTAATTGTTGATCTCTGTGGGAGGCTGGAGGCTGGGGTCTCCTACTCCACGATCTTGGTGATTTCACTCTGGAACTTGGTTGTTTCCTCCTCTCAGGAAGGATAGAGTCCTCCCATGTGGAATCTGACACCTGGAAGCTTTCATATTCTTTTCTGTGGCTGCAGAGTATGGTGAGTATTCTGGAAGATCAGTTGTTCAAGCAGCACTTTTTAAGTCCTCATGGCCAGAAAAGTATCTTCGTTAAGCCCAGAACCCTGACTCCAACTGCTTCACCAATAAATAAGCATCTCCATTCTGGCAGAGCTGGAGATCTGTAGGACTGGTGTCTTACAGAGAAAACTTTATCAGTTTTTCTGCCATTTTTCCAGCTAGCCAATATCAAGGACATTTACATTCTCTGTTAAAATGAGTAGAAAGACACAGGACTATTATTTTAAATTCTGGGCACTATTCCATAAATTTAGGAATTGCAAATGATTCTCTTTAAGAGGAATTTCTAAGTATTGGAGGTGTCATTTGGACATCAGCTACATATCCTGGTACATATTTCTAGTCGAAATGCTAAGAAATTATATACCAACCACCTCTTAGAGTAGGCCTAGCAAGGGCTTCATTTTCGTATCCTACCATTTTGGGTGGCAGTTCTTTAAAAAGAGATTGGCTCTAAGGCACTTAGTAATGACAACTCATGTCAGCTTTCTGCATGGTATATCCCATATTTTAGTACTAGATGTGTTTGAACTGCACACAATTGTTGTATGATTCAGTCATCTTAATAATCTTTTATTCATTTTTCCTGTTCTGTCTCTTTTAATGGTCACTGATGAAAACATAATCAACACAGAGCTCCCAGCAATGACTGTGTCCCAGGGAACCCAGCTTCCTGGCTTCTGCCTTGGCTTACCATCTAAAAATGCCTGTGACTAAGACAGTCTCCTGCCAAGGCTGGCTTTCAGCTGCTTGTTTTTATCGTGTGATCAAGATATTGGATGTGCCCGGATCCCAAGGACCTTTCTCTGTCCTAGACATTCTGATCTAATCAGTATGAAAAACATCCAACATAGTAAATGCCACTTTAATTATAAGCTTGCTCCAACTGGATTAGAATCAAAATAAGCATGCTTAGGACAAAAAGTAGATCTGAAAGGCGAAATTAGTAATTGAGCTTCTGAGACAGGAGTCCATTTTTATTTCATGATTAAGTGATTTTCTTCTCTAATTCTTATTTCAATATTCTCATTTCCACATAAACCTACGCCATCATCCAATCCTACACATTATTTCTCAACTAATTTAGTTTCCTTTTTACTTGCTTTTATTTACCTTTCTGGTATGACTTCAGGTTTACTGCCTCTCCCGTCTTCAGGGCACCCCAAGTTCCGGATGCAGATGCTAAGCATTGCAGATAAGCCCCAACAGGAGAAGTTAGTAAGTAGTTATGAACACTGGCTTCAATTAGACTTGATTTCAAATTCTGGCTCCAACACTTAGTAGCAGTGTGACTTGCACGTGCTATTTACCTCTCTAAGCTTCAATCTCCTCAGTCATGAAATAGGAAGAAATCATACTTATTTCACAGGGTGATTTTAAGGATAAGTGAGCGAATGTAGGTAACGTTGTTGGCAAAGGGCCTAGAAATGTAGTAATATCATCTGACAAACGCTACTTACTGATATGAGTAGGAGGGTGCTTGCCAATCCATGCATAAATCTGGAATCAGAGAGACTCTTTCAAATCCCAGATCCAGCTCCGAAGAGTTGCAAGACCCTGGGCAAGATGTTTAATTTCTCTGTTGGCTCTTTCACAAAAGGGGGATGAAAACACCTGTCTCACAGGTGTCGCTTCTGGGTGCTGTGTTGTTTAACACAAGCTTCTTCGAAAAGATAAGTGTCAGGCTGTATTTGTATCTATAGAATAAGGTGACCACCATCCATTTTTCTCTAGAATACTCCAGTAGTGAGAAAGGAAACATGACCATCATTTTCTAAAGTCTCCCAGGGGTAGTTACTCTAGATCTGTCCCCATGGCCGTAAATGACACCTCTTACTCAAATCATTCAGGAGCAGACTTTTTCCTGTAGGTGAGGTTCTCCGCGATTAGAATAGGTAGACTTAGGAACAAATTTTCTCTGCTTTGCATTTACTCTACAGACTCAGGTTACGGTAGAGGTCATCCAGTGCAGCTGAGCCTAGGTAGAGGCTGAGAACAGACTCTAGGAACCACAGTGGCCTATTGTTGATAATGCTGAAGAACAAAATACCTCAGATGTTCTAAAAATGGTATCTCTTTTTCTAGTCAGAGATAAAAATACTACCCAGGAACCAGCTGCATTGTAACAGAATACATAGAAGAGAGTGGGTGAGCTGTATATTCAACCACTAGCAAAGGGCCTTGTGGTAGGTTGTATTGTTGTCCCCAATCATTTGCTGCTCCTCTCTGTGAGGCGACTATACTCTTCCACCTCATTAACAGCAACTTTCATGTGACTTGATTTGGCCAATGAAATGTGAGCAGTATGCCACTTCCAAACAGAAGGTTTAAGAGGCACTGGTAATTCTTAGCTCTTTCTTCAAAGAATCCTATCTAATGATTGCCTGACGTGGGCCAGCGGTAAGTGAAGGTCACTGGACTTGCCTGGCCTGGTCTTGGCAATGCTGCAAAGGTAAGCACAGTACATCTAGCATTTCATTTTAGAATGTAGGAACTCACTGTCCTCAAGTTTGGTTTTCAGTCAACGCAAATGTGCACACACACACATACTTCTCAAATATATTTATTTTTTCTAGACTGTTGAGTAAATTCCCCTGTCTTTTGTTATCTTCTGAGAGGTGATTTAACTTCTTAATGCAGTTGGAAAACGTGGTGCAAATGATACTGTAGTAAATGAAAGAACTTCATCAGCTTCTAATTAGAAATTGAATCACTATGTGGATGGCATAAAAAAATAGCCTGCTTTTAGTAATCTACGACAGAAATTGGTTCAGGGAAGACTTTATTGAAAGGATAAGATTAAAAAGCTCTAATTAACTTTACTTGAAAAAATATCTTCCTAACTTCTGGATCAGCACTGTCCAATAGGACTTTCTGTAATGACAGAAGAATTCTATATCTGTGCTGTCCAATATGGTATCTGCCAGCCACACGCGGCTATTGAGCACTTGAAATGTGCTAGTACAACTCAGAAGCTGAATTTTAAATTTAGTTAATTTAATTTATATTTAAATAACCACATAGAGCTAGTAGCTACTGAATTATACAATGCACCTTAGACCCTACATTGGAAGAGTATCTTTTCCTAATAATTGAAGTACTCTTTCATGTTACTATATTTGTCACTAAGGAACTCACATGTATGTTTACGTGTATGTGTGCATGTATCTGTACATGTACATATCTACGTGTATCTAGTTCTCTCTCTGTCTAGGGAAGTACCAGACAACCTCACCCTTTCATGTTCAGCAGTCACATCACTGCAGATCCAAGAAAGTACCGCCTGTTCTGTTTCAGACTCATGCAGGTACTCTCAATAGAGATCCAAGCTAGCTTTATGGAGCAAATCTTACAAGAAAGCATTGCTCCAAGACAGTCTCAATATGCAAATGAATAGTACCACATCCTAGAATCATAAGTCAAAGACATTATTTAGTCCATCCATTGATCTAGAAAGAACCCCTCCCAAATTATCCTGACAATTTCTGATATTATACTTCCAAATCTCTATACTTTAGCTTTTCATCTTTATACATACTGAAAATTAGACTCCCAAGTTCCTCAAAGAACCAGATTTTAGCTGCCCCAGTCATTGAATTAAAACTGAGCTATATTTTCATCTCACTATATAATTAAAAAAGGAATTTATTTTCTCCATTTTCAGAGGACTCATATCACCGCAAAGATATAATATTTTGGATCTTTGGTCATTGTTAAGCCCACAGGATTTGGAAAATAATAATTCCTGACTGTGAGGATATAATTATTTCGGAAGGCTGGAGGCAGATGTATTTTTAGGGACACTTGGACACTGATTCTTTTCCCTTTCTGTGGCTGTGGCCTTCCTGGTGGACTTTCTCAGGGAGAAGAGGCCAGGGAAATCCTTGCCAAGACAGGCCACATTGGTCACTGCCTCTGAGAGATTCTTTATCTTTGGCTAATTAACTAAGACATTCAATCTATCCTTAATGAGGGTGTAGTGTGTTCTCTTTCCCTTAATTGGAGAGCTGCAGAAAGACCTGGCTTTACTTCCTAGTGACAGTGCGAGAATGAATTCATCTGTAGGACTTACTGTGTGGCAACTAACTACTATCATGCTCCCGATGAATGACTATTGGTGTGTTTGTTTCTTACTGAGTTCTAAAATTAAAATGTAATCTTACTCAAATAACAAAAAAGCTTCTAAGAAGCATAAGATCTGTTGGAATAAAGAGAAAGACTATTCAATAGAAAGAGATGGTGCTGTACCGAGTATGTTGACACCAAATTACCCTCAAATGCAAGGCTTTATAGTTTTCTATTAAAAAACAAAGTACAGATCTTCCTCGACTTACTGTGGGGTTACATCCAGATAAACCCATTGTAAGTTGAAAATATCGTAAGTTGAAAATGCATTGAATACACCTCGCCTACCTAACATCGTATCTTCGCCTAGCCTACCTTAAACATGCTCAGAACACTGCATACAGTTGGGCAGCATCATCTAACAGAAAGCCTGTTTTATAATAAAGTGTTGAATAGCTCATGTAATTTATTGAATACTGTACTGAAAATGAAAAGTGGAATGGTTGTGTAGGTCCAGAATGAGTGTAAGTATATGGCGTGGCTGACAGGGAACTGCTGCTTGCTGCCACTGCCCAGCATTACAAGAGGGTATCCTACCACATATTACTAGCCCGGGGAAAAGATCAAAATTCAAAGTACAGTTTCTACTGAATGTGTATTGCTTTCACACCATCATAAAGTCAAGAAGTTGTAAGTTGAACCGTTGTAAGTCAGGGACCGTCTGTATGATGGGATGACTATAAGTTAAAGATCAGATCCCTTCTACAGACAAGCTAGGCATGATGAGCCTTGACCTTTAGTCATCTGAGAAAAGGAAGCCAATGAGAGAATGTGAAGAAGGAAAGCTGAGGCACTCTGAGATTGCCATAGGATGTGTGTGGTTGATCATGTGCCAGACCCTGGAATTTCACCTGGATTTCATCTCCAGTTTCCCTCAGCCCAATTAGGGTATATTCATTCCTAAAGCTCTAAGGCACCTGCCTCTCTGAGCAATGGGTCCCACAGGAAGCTCTCAGTGTGGTTTCAGGGATCCTCTCTACAGACTAGAGGCAGAGGAAGGTGCTAATCATCAAGTCTTCCCACAATAAAGAAGTAATGCCACCCATAGGATTAGCCTGAAAAACACGGGGTGACACATTTGAGTCAGATTTTAACCTGGAAACAAAATTGGACAGTTTTGAAAGTGTATTAACTCTTTCAAACACTAACGTGAAAGAGATAATGCCATTTTCTCAAGTAGCTGACTAGCATCAGGACCTGATTTAAGCAATGAAGAATTCAAATTTATAGCAAGAGAGTATTAAAATATGGGAGCAGGTATTTTAATGTTTAATGTAAACTATCAATCTTATATGGGTTATATCTAATGTAAAACACAACAAATCAGGATTCATTTTCGAAATATAAATAGAGCAGGAACCAGAAAAAGTGCATTTATCAGAAACATGTTATATATTTATGTCTTTATTCTCCAGGGAAGAACGTAAAATTCTGTGCAGCTAAAGCATCAGCTTGATTGCTTGATGATGGTTAACATTTAAGAATTCGCCCTGGGGGAAATAAAGTGGAAATTTAAATAGTGTTGCAACTTGCCATTAGTGTGGGTTTTCACTGTCTATTTCCAAATAAGGACACAAGTGAAAGACAATAGGGAACCTGCTCGGACTATATTATATTCAGTCAAACCCTCTTTCTTTTATTGATTCTGTAGATACATACTGCTTAAAGTACATAGACAGCTTTGTTTTTAAGCTATTAGTCGTCTTTAAAGAACCTTTAAACTTTCCTTGTTTAGCAAATATTCTTATAGTCATCGGATGCAAAATGTCTACATATGCATATAGACACAAAGACGTATTTCATATTCACCAAACAGGACAACAATTTATTCCAAGTTACAGAGTCACTTCCTCTAAGAAAATGTTGACTCTCCTCGTTCCTGATAATGGACACCCCTCCCCTCTTGCCAGATTATATACTGTCCAGTCCTATTACTTCTGAACCCCCACAAAGGGTCTACTATCCTGTGCCATGAGTCTAATTAAATTTTAAGGCATATTCAAACGCTAGAAATAAACAAAAATAAGACAAGGGCTCACGCATAACAACAATAGTAATCATCAGAGAAGTCATTTAAATTAACACTTTTAATCAAGCAACCTAAACAGCGTAATGCAAAAGCAGAAATAGAACTTAAATTTAAATCAACATTCCACCCCATAAAGAACAGAACGGCGGGAGTGAAATCGACAAAGAGACTTCTACTTTACCATGTAAACATCAGTCTGTTTTTTCTCCCTAGGCTTGCTTTGCTTTCTTTGGCATGACAGTTCTGATTCTTCAGCCTCCCCATGAAGAAGAGAAAAATTCCCTTGAAGCTGAACTAAATTCATCAGCAAATGAAATTACATTCATTTGATAAAATGCTAAATGGAAAAAGGCAGGTTTATTTTAAGCCGTCAACAGGCTGTTTCAGTTAATCATGCACAGCACAGAAGACAGGAAAATGGTTGCTAAGAAAATGGTTGGCATGCTTCCACGAGATCCGTGTGATGTGAAATGCATCTGCTCATTTCAACAGGGAAATAGAAAAAGATAAAATAAACAGTTCAGGGTATATTTGGTGAGTCACTGTGGAACACAGGGCCAAAATAACTTACGTGTTGTCAGTTTATTTTATACAATCTTATTGTTATAATGTTAGCCTTTTCTTAAAATTCAAAAAGTCTCATTTTAATAGTAATATTTTGTTAGAAAATTGATACATATTCATTGTAGATAAATTGGAAAATATAAAATAAGAAAATTAAAATCTGCTATAACACACACAAACATGAATACCAATATCTGCAATGCCTGGTGCATGCATAGGAGAGGCTCCATATTAATTTGCTGAATGAATTAGTATATATTTTGTGTACAAATATGGGCTCATATTATATGAACTTTTATAACCTGCTTATTGTTCATCAAAATATGTATCATAAACATTTTTCTATGTTATTAAATATTCTTAGGCGATATTTTAATAGTTCCATTCTTATGGAACATTTAAATTGTTGCCTTGCCAGACTTTTGTAACAGCCGAGAACTGAACACAAGCATCTCCCCCAGGGAGGCTGTCACTATGGTGCTGATGAAATCCAAACATGTTCAACATTTTCTTCTTGTAGGTCGCAGTAATTTCTCTGGTTGTTGAGAGAGTCAATGGAACCTCAGCTGTTCTGATCATCTGTAATTCCACCATTTCCACCACCAGATACACACCTTCACTTCTTAGACAGACACTGCTTGCTGTCAGCATCCAGGCCCACAAATGGGAGAGAGAACAGCTAAAGACAGCAACCTGCTTGGCATCCCCCTGCACACCATAATAGTCCTCAGGGTGAAGTAACCATGGACATCAGTGTCCACAGCATCTTCAAGGTGGCTGTTATGGATAAAGAGGACAGGCCAAAAGGACAGTATTGAGTCACAAAGTGGAAGACTGTATCGGTTAAGAAAGCTTTTGATTATACATGATCCAGAATGCTGAGAAGTTCAAAGCAGAAAAATGAGAAGCAGAGAAACATGGTTGGTATCTCCTAAGAACTCTCTTGAGTCCACTGTCTTTACTCAGGACAAAATGGAAAACAGAAAAATTCAAGGCAAAAGCAATCATGGAGGGCAAACAGGAGATTCAGTAAGGCCATCAGCTGGCTGAACAAGAACTAGCCTGCTGATAAGGAAGAATTTGAGTGTCATCAGGAATACTGAAGAATTCCAAAATTCTGCAAGTTGATCGTCACAAGCTGTACCAGGGAGCTGACAACAAGCCCTCGCAGGGGCAGAGCTCCACTGCCACAGTGTGTCTTGTCAGAGAGAGATACCCACTATCGAAGAAGGTGACCATGCTGACCAGAAGAAAGCATATTCCACAGATCTGTCGCAGAGTTTACATATGTGGCCCAGTCAGTTCACTAAGTCAGTTTCAAAGGTTGATTTTAAACTATGAATTAAGCTGTGGAGATAAACAGTTCTGAATATGTGTAATAGCTCAACTAAAATAGAAGTTCATTTCCTGCTCACTTAACAGTCCAAGGCAGGTGTTCCTGGCTGATGGATGGTTCTTCTCCACACGGTGACTCAGGGAATGACCCAGGCTCATTTTGTCTTCTCTCCACCAGGGCCTCATCCTCATCAGCTGCCTCCAGTCAATAGACGAGAAGTGAGAGAGAGAGGGGCACGCCTGCTGCTTTAAAGCCTTGTCTCAGAAATGATGTTCATCACCAAAACTCAGTCACACGATCTAACTGCAGGAAGGCTGGCCTACGTCGTCCAATTGTGTTCCCAAAGAGTAGGGACAAGGGATTGGTGGGGAGGACAGGGAACAGCTCGCAGTCTGCAGTTGTTTCAATTGGGTCATATTTCATATACTTCAGAGAGTTTCATCGCACTTCAGCAGTGTTATGAGTGAAAAGTAACATTTATGTCTCAACAAATAAAGATCCACTTTAAATCGGTGTCATAAAAACAAGTAGAATTTCTGGGTCAAATGGCATACAAAATTCTAAAGGTTTTCATTAAGTATCGTCAAGTTGACCTTGAGAAGTTGTTCAGTTTATACTCTCATCTCCATGCCATCACCTACACCACTGCTAACATTGCATACAGTATTATCATTTCAAAGCTTTTCATAAACAAAATAAAGTATTCAAACAATAGAGAAAAGATGAGTGAGGAATGTAAAAAAAAGTCACCAGAGGTAATCACCACTAGTCTTTTGTTGACCACCTTTTCATACGACTCTCTACACAGAGATATTCCACAGAAAAGATATTACATTTGCCTTTTGAAAAATTGTGAACCTCCTTCTCTTGTTCTATTTCCCTTCTTTTCTTTATTTCCTTCCTCCCTCCTTCTCTCCCTCCCTCCCTTCCTTTTCTCTCATCGCTCCCTTCTCTCCCTCTTTTCCCTCCCATTTCTCATGCTTTGCTTTTGATGGCCATAATTGACTGGCTTTACTGGGTCAGTCCTGACTTGAGGAGGTACGATCGCGTAGAAATTGATAGCACATACCCTAAAGCCACACTGCCTGGATCTGGATTCCACCTTGTCCATGTATTGCTGTTATGACCTCTGTGTCTCAGTCTCCTTATCTGTACAAGCGGGTAATAATAGTACCTACCTCCTTGGTTCCTATTAATCCTTGTGAGGATTAAATGAGTTAATATGTGTCATGTGTCTTGAACAGCACCTCGTGCATAGTAAGTGCTATATGTGTTTGCTATTATTATCATTAATCTATCACATACGTTACAGATATTTTTTCCTGCCTGTTATTTGTCTTTTGACTTTATTTATGGTACTGTTTTCATGCAGTAAAATATATCTAGCCTTTCCTTTATAGCTTTTTTATTTCCAAATGTGTCTGATAAAGATCTGTCTCCTTATTTCTTTTCATGTCATCCTTGTCACATATATGTTTTTCTAATTTATGCTTTCTTTCAATGATAATTGCGAGTGGAGTTTTTGGTGATTGTTTTGTTAAAGTGAAAACTATCCTTCTTTTTCCTTAAGGTTCCTACATTGTCGTTTGCTTAGAAAAGCCTTTGCCACCCATTTATAATTTAATTAGTTTATAGAGCATTGATATAGGTAGAGGTAGAACTTTTCTAAAGTGTTTGCTAGTTATCCCAAACCATTTATTATTCTCTGCTCTGATGAAAGGATCTGTTGAGGATGTGTACCTCTCTCATTGGAGCCTGACTTGACTGAAGCCACACCCCTCCTTGTCTTATAGAGTCGTTTAAGAGAGAAATCTGTCTATACAGTCAACTCCTTTTTTATTTTTTGAGGAAGAATAGCCCTGAGCTAACATCCACCACCAAGCCTCTTCTTTTTGCTGGGGAAGATTTGCCCTGAGCTAACATCCGTGCCCATGTTCCTCTACTTTATATGTGGGACGCCAGCCACAGCATGGCTTGACAAGTGGTGCGTAGGTCTGCACCCAGGATCCGAGCTGGCAAACCCTGGGCCACCGAAGTGGAGCCCATGAACATAACTGCTGCGCCACGTGGCCGGCCCCTGTACAGTCAACTCTTAATTACCATCCCATAGATAACCAACTTTGGAGATCAACAAAATAAAAAACCAGACTAAAAAAAAAAAAAAAAATTCTCAGCCTGGGCTCCTCACACTACTTTCCATTGGGCTCTGCTCAGAAATGCCAGCTAACATTAACTTTACATGAGTCAGCTTGGAAGGACAGTTTTTTAAAGATATACAAATGTTTCACAGGGCTAACTACAAGTGAGTCTTGAAACTTCCACCATCTAGTTATCTGTGCATTACGCTCTTTAATGATTACAAGTAATGGAAAGCTGAATAAAGTACTTGAAAAAATGAACTCCACATGTTGTTTCTCTGAAGCAGGCACTCTGGTATGGTTTCATAGACTATGAATCAGAAGACAAAAAGGATTAAAGGAAGTTTGGCAGAGGTAAATCACCCAGAATAGACACAGATTTTTGACTAAAATTTAGGATTAGTCAGTTAACGGCTCACGAAACGTTTTTTGCAGGACTCTTTCTTGTCCTGGAGGGCTCCAGCCCGAGCATTCTGGAGTGAGGAGCTTAAAGAGCCTCAGAGGCCACCATGTCTCTTCTTAATCCAAAAATTCTTCTGAACAGGGCTACAGACCTTGGATTTTAATATCTATTTCTTAAAATAATTATGGGTCAGTTATGGTCTATGCCAGTGTTCCTCAAACTATCCGTGGTGAAGAACCAGTTATTTTTTCCAATCTGCAAAGAAACATTTCTGTAAAATATAATAAAAATGGACTAATAGAAAAATTAAATGAAAACAAACACACAAAAAAAGCCCAATTTTTTATTATTATGTTTAGCAGATACAAAATTACTATGTAAATTGCTATAAAATTTTCTAAATGCCAACTTTTAATTTCTGCACTTATTTCATTGTAGACCAGTAACAGTTAGTGGACTGGAATGGGTTCCTGTGTCCCCCTTGGAGTAGCGCTTTCTATGCCATTTCTGGCCCCTAAACCAATGCATTTTTCAAAACCAAAGGCTCCTCCATCAGAGGAGAGTGAGAGAGGACTGGTACCCAGCAGTGAACTCTTGTGTGGGACTGCAGCAAGCGTTAGGACTGGTGCATTCCTGTGATCTGGTTAGAATACAGTTCCCAAACTATGTCCTGTGGCCTAATAGTTAGTTCTGAACTGATGAAGTCATGACACATTTGGACTCTCTCATTCTATAAGTAATGCTCCAATCAGAAAGGTGTTGATTGTGTATTCCCTTTTCCACCTGTAATTTATTAAATGTTTGTTTTCCATGCTTGGGAATCTTTTTTTTTTAAACCAATGCTTATGCATTTAACGCCACGTGGAGTGGTACAGAGCACGTTGCCTCACGTTCTGGGTTTACTCCAAGGATTCTCCAGATCGGCCTTTGTTTTGTGGTCCCTAAACTGTGAGCTCCTGGCCTTTTAGGCACTGGCTCAGCTTTTCTCTTCACATGGAGAGGACTCTGTGCATCCTGAGAGGAGCCCTCGGAGATCAGTTAACTGATTTCCATTGTTCTGCTCCTACGCCTCCTCTTGTGCTTCCAGCGTCCTGTGTTTTGCTAATTATATGTACCTTCATTGGGATTAGACCGGGACAGCGTACTAGTAACCACAATTATGTTATTGGGCTTTCTTTCTGAAAAATCTGAGTTTAATGTCCCAGTGTAAAAAACATCAATTTTTCTGCTGTTTACTGACTGGCATGATAATTTCATTTTATTGTTTAGATCTCAAGTAGTAGTTTTCTTCAACGATACTGCTTGATGCAACAAAATATTGGTCTTTCTAATACCTTTAATCATTTATTGAGACGAGAAAAAAGTTAAACCATTTATTCACCTTCTGGGGACAGTTCTTTCAGTTACCTTTGATTAGAAAAAGTCAGTTTATGGCTAATATAGTGAGCACAAAAAATAAGCAAATTTTAGTGTCAAGTTCCCAGTGAGGTGTCACTGCATGCTGTTAATTTTATCACAATCTGTCTTAGCTCATTGACCTTACTGACAGTTCTATCTTAGCATTAACACAGAAGCTGACCTCTTTTTTGGTTAATTGCCATCCTCTTTTATGTCTTAAATTTGTTATATTATCATTTTAAGAAAGAAAAATCTGCTAATGTAAAGGTCCACATTTATTAAACAGCCACTACTCTGAAAGCGTTTGTATGCCAATCAAATATATAATATCCACGACTATACATATTAATTAACAACAATTATAAACAGGTAATTTCTAAGCTTTACTCTAGATAGTGTATCAGTCATTCACAAAAATATAAAGTCCATTAATAGTCTTAAGAGTTCCTCTGAATCTGCTTCAGAGAAAAGGCTGTACCCGTTTGAAAGAAAAGGGTCTGAACAGGCAGAAACCGGGCACTTCCCCAGCACGGGGAGAGAGGATGAGAAGCCCGTGGCGAGGTCACCCGTAGATCCCGGAGCTACTAATTAGTCAAACTTGGAACGGCTGAAAGCAAACTACAGCTTTCATGTCCAACCCTCAGGTGTCCTCCTCTTGTCCGTGACTCAGCCTGCCGCCTCCGTTCTGGATTCCATCTCTTCCAGCTCCTTCCTCCTCTGAGACCTTATTCCATTCATTATTCCTGGACATGTGGCTGCACAAAAATCAAACCTAGGAAGCGCCATATTATTACAGCTTGTTAATACGAAAGTGAGAATGCCTCCAAAGCATTTCTAACTAATACACACCTCTCCACTACCTGGAATTTCACAAATGAAAACCCACTTCTGATATTCATTATGCTAATTATCAAAACCTCTGCTGTTAGAGATTAAGATAGCCGAGGCACCTGCAGCTGCCCTCTAAGTGTGGCATTTTGATTTGATGCCACCACTAACCACCACTGGAGTACGTATTTCCAATTAGAGTAACCGCCTGCCTTAGTTGGGTCTGGATGAAAATGAACTAAAACATGTATTTGCACACTGAACGTCTGCTGAAGTATTTTAAAGTAAATTACAGACCACAAAACACCTTCCCTGTAAAAAGTCCAGCTACTTGAAGCAGGGGACCGCAGTTAGGTTGCCCTATTCCTCAGTTCCTGTTTGTTCTTAACCCAAGGCTGTCCAGCTCCCCTCTCACCATCCTCCTAAAACTGCGCCTGCTGAGGGCGTGTGTGACCTGGATGCTAAGTCCAACGTGCTAGGTCCTAGCACTTCTGAAATACAGTTTTAAAGCATCAATATTCATTTCTATAATTTTAGGAAGAGTTAAACATGTCTCAATCCTTTTTTTCCCTTGCGATATACTCTGAAGGTTTTAATTATACTTCAGAGAAACCTTGATTCAGACATGAGACAGAAGAGTCTGGTAAAGTAATTAAGTGGAATATGCCGTGTTCATTATTCAGCAAATGAAGTCTCACTTCCAATGAAATGGTGAAAAAAAAAAAAAGTCAGTTTATTTCTT